TCATAGCAATTATTAATAGTAATTATGATAAATATTTTACATACTTTAATTTGAATGGTAATAAACATTTTGGTAAAAACCTAAAGTAAAGATTAATTGAATAAATGTCACATGGACTGCATTGGAGAAAAAATATTACTTAAATAAAGTGAATATTGAAGAGCCTTAGAAACTGAGTCAAAAACCAAATACACGGTAACCACAGTGACACATCAATCCTGAAACAGTCATGACCCTCCTACCACAGCTATTGCTTGAAACATTATTCTTTTGGGGTATCTATTCAGAATATTTTCCTATATTAAGTAAAATGCAGCTGGGTCACAAATGCTAAAAGAAAAAGAGAAAGCTAAAAAGAAAAAAAAATGATACAGTATTTTTGAGTTAGGTATGTCCCTCTATTAGAGTTCTAGTTTTATTTTTATTCTCACTTATTAATAATTTTAAACATATTTATACCCAGATTTGTGTATTCTTAGCCTTTCTTTTTCTATATAATTAGTACCTTAACATTTACTCATGTCTTATTTTCCAAGTTTTAGTTAACATTTCCACTTTTTTCTGAGCTCTAATGTTATTCTCTGTCTAAAAATGGGGCCATCTGCAAGTAAAAAATAAATATCACCTAAACTCTTTTCAATGCACTATATTGATTCTTTAGATTGGTTAATAGTATTCCCTGCTAGTCTAGTGGGTTAATTTGCATAACAATAAGCAATCAGTAAATGGCATAGTCCAGCACAGATATTCTTATTAAACATTTCTATTCAATGTTTTGTTTTTTAAATGCTTTATAATCAGTTTTGTTTGATATTCTTGATGATAAAATTGTGAAATAAATCAATATCAAACTCACAGGAATCTAAGCATCTCAGAGATAGTATAATGTATAATTAAGCATTTATATTCCTCCGAGGTAGAAGAGAGGCTAGGCTAAAAAATACTGGAAGAAATTGGTAGTAGTGTCACTATAAATTTGCACAGAAATGATGGAACAATTCTAAGCACTACAAAATGTAGCAATGACTGAACAGATGAGTACTAAACTTTTAGTAAGAAGTTCACCTGATAGCTTTGGGGTAAGACAAGTATTGATCCAAAGCTAGGAACCCTCGAGTGCTCTGCATAGGAATTCAGGTTGCAAGAAATATCCCTGAAACAAAACTCCAGACATTGTCTCCTTCACAATTAAAATGACTCAGGTTTCCTACCCACCCTCTACAACTGTCTCCAATCCAATTTCCCACTAATTCTGTTCATTTTGCTTCTGCCATGTTTTGAATCCAATTCTTAAAATGAACTCTCCGAACCATTGTCCACGTTTACACCTAGGTCACTTCACCTAAGAATTACTCCATTTAACTGCTTATATAGGGTTTTGAAAGACCCTACTTTGGCTTCTAAAATATCTCCTTTTCTTATCTGTTTGCCTTCATTTTCCCCTTCAGTTCTTTTTCCTTCACAAACTTCTTTTATGCCACTTGACCCTGATGGGCTGGTATTCTGCAGGATGATGTATTTTGACTCTCTTCTCTCCTCAGTCTTTACTATTCTGAGGTCATCTTATCAACTACAACACTTCTGCTCTAGAATCTTTCAAATGTTTCTTTCTCCAACTGGATGTTTCTTCGGAGCTGACACACAAGTTTCCTGAGGCCTATTATCCATATCCAATGGACTCTGCATAGGTGCCAAAAACTTTACCTGTCAAAAATTGCTTCATATGTTTCTCATTCCAGATCTTGTTAAATGGCATCACCATCCACTCAGGCAACAAGCCCCAAATCCTGGAGTCATTCTAGAATGCTCTCTGCCTCATTTCCCACATTCAATAGACATTATGTCTTCAAAACATTTGAGAAACTACTATGTTAAGTAGTACAGACATTAAGCCAGGTGCAGTAAGCAATGTAAGCATCATTTATGCATTAATGCAGTAAGCAAGTTAGCATTATTCTTATACTCAATGAATTTACATCTTATTGGGATGTATAGAGGTAAAGAGCTTATTCTTATTGTTCTCTATGTGAAAACCATCCCCAGGAGTTTGGCAACACAAACCCATGGAACTCTCTGTATGGTGGTCCTACAAATAAAATGTCAAAAGAACAAAAGTAACATGTTCATCATTTTTTTTCAATATCTCTGCATTATTTTCTTTCTGGATTGCCACAATTGCTCTCTAACCAGTTTTCATCCTTCTTTTTTTCCTAATCCCTATCCTATTCATCCACTATAATGTTGCCAGAAAAACGTTTCTAAACTTCCAAGCTGACCACACCCTCATCATGCTAACCACTACCGACAGGATACAATCCAGAGTCTTTAAACTGGCCTACAAAGTCTTTATAAATGGAGCCTCTTTATGCTCCATTCCTCCACACGTGTTTTCTGCTGCTGCCATGCTAAGCTCCTTACAAATCTCCATGACAACTACGCTCCCTCACATAGCTCTATACCTCAAAATGTGCTCTATCATACACAACCCTCTCCATCTGAGTAATGTCTAACTTGTCCTCCACATTCATCCCTGACATCAATCTCCCTATAAAGTCTTAGACATCAATCTCCCTATAAAGTCTTCCCTAAGAATCACCGTAGTCCCATGGGTGTCCCACCTTTGTTCTCATTTCACCCTGCCATATGTCCATCATATTACTTATGGAATCAGGTTATAATCACAAATTTGCCTCTCTTTCCTGCTAGACAATAAGCTTCGGAGGGGCAAGGACTCTATTTTGTTTATTTCCATATTTTTCCTTCTCACAACAGTGTCTTGCATGTAGGACTCTCTCAGCAAATATTTGGTGAATAAATCGGTGGCAAATAGTCTATTTTGCATAATACCAGGTTCTTCCTCAAATACCACGTTATGAAGTCATACCTAGTTCTGAATGGACAATGGTTCCCTACAGTATGAGATAAACTCATGTTCAGTCTGTTTTCTAGGCCCTGCACAATGTCTAACAGGAGGGGCCTTCTAAAAAAAGAAAGAAAAAAAAAACAATAACCTTACATTTCCTTCAAACTTCAAGACTCACTTCCTCTAAGAAGCCCTCTTTATTACTTCAATAGAAATAACATTTTCTTACTTTGAACTCTTAATGTTTTAACATGGGAGTAGATATTTGCCAATACTTGGCTGGCCTAAGAAACGTCTCTGTGTGCACATACGTTCTTTACCAAAACTGTTTATCAAGGAACTTATGAATAAAGACTCTTCTCTGAGTTATCTCTGCTAACTACGCCATTGGTACAAGGGTGACAGGTATTTCATATGTCCTTCTTGAAGGAATGAATCAAGAGTCTCTCCCCAACGTGCTACCAAAACTGTTCTCAGAAGTTCAATTATTTCCTATGTTTATCTTATTTGATACCTCAGCACTGTTCATCCAAGCTGACCACTCTCTCTTTCTTGAAAAGTGGACTTACACTTAGCTCCCATACACTATACCCTTCTGACTTTTCTTCTGTCTCCCTGGCTACTCCTCAGGCGGCTGCAGTAGCTATTCTTCCGTTACCAAACCATTCAACTTTCAGTTTCTCAGCGTTGCCTCCTTCTCCCCAGGCCCATTCCCCACCTTATTCCTCACATACAGCCCAAACAATCTGTGCTTTTTATATAGCTCCATTTTAATAGAGGTAGAAATGTAACTTCATTCTGTTTAATGTATGCAAGCATGTGTTTTCATGAACATAGTTCCTATAGTAATAATAAACAAGGAGATAAAGAAAAGAGCAAACCCACTGGATAATTTTAGAAAAATATTTGACAGATACATAGCATAACATTTTATGATTGTTTAGGTTTTAAAAAGACAGAATTATGTGGATGGTAGGAAAACTGGAGGGTTATTTTGTTCTGTAAAAAGTATTACAGTGATCCAGCTCCTGTTAGTGAATATAAGTCATTTTTGATGTGTGACTTGCTTTAAGCTACTGAAGAGAATATTTGCGCATTTACCACAGCAGAAGTTGTAGCGGCCTCCCTCAGGCAGAAGTGCTTAAGCATCTGATAATGTCTAGTGACTTGCTTAAATAGGATAAAACAACACATCCTCAGGCAAGTAAGAGGATTTAAATAGGGTCAATTTAGGAAGCATGGTGCCTCAGCAAATTCAGAAATTCATTCAGATTAAGGCCTTGTGCTTTTAGGATCTCTGTCAAAAGACCAGTTCTACAAATCTAATTTAGAGGTGGGGGCTAAGAGTGGGGGGAGTAAAAAATGTATATTCTATAAAAGTCCTCTCATATTCAAAAGTATACCTTCAAAAATTATACAGCAACACCAGTGTGCATTATTTTAAACCAGTAGTAATGTAAGCTTAATTTTAAAAATAATAAATCAATTGGGAATGGGGAGGATTGTACCTTATTCTAATAAAAAGAATCTATTGTAGGAATTCAGATAATATGTCTGAAACATGATTCTGTCTTTTGTATAACACAGTTTGTGATAAATTACTTGTTCAAGTAGTTATTTAATCCATACGTTTCCTCTAGATCACTGACACATTTCTCTTAAGTACAGGAAGTAAATTACTGACCAAATTCCTCAGGTCTCCAAAGCAAGCTTGAGAATTTAATTGAAGCTTTATTACTACACAGAACTATCCAATCTAGAAGAAACAAGGCAGTGATTTTTTTTATAGTTGAAAATTGTGTTCTGAGAGCTATACTTTCACATCTAAGCTCAACAAACTCCCAGAGACAGATCATAAGATTATATAAACAAGAAACATTAAACAAAGTGATTCCATGTATAAAAACACACCAACAGCTTTGCCTGAGACGTGATTCATTTAGCTCGCTGTTATTCCTGAAATCTATTGCTTATATGGACACATGCTATCTATGGTTATAAGTTTGTTGGTACTGTATTATTGGAATTAACTTAAAATGTTTAGTGACAATAACCTTCATCTGCTGCATAAACATGTATTTTTTGTGACCTTCATGACCAAAGTAAAAATTCCCTGAAAATTGTGATGTGACCTTACCTTGCTTCCATTTTCGGTTGCCTCTCGTTCCATCTTGATGTCAGAAATTAGAAGATTCTTGTATTTGTTTTTTCCATTACTGCTGTGGTCATCTATTCTGTATTCCGAAGTCAGCTGTGCTGAGAGGGGACTGTCACTCAGGTTCAGAGGCTGCTCGTCCTGCTCCAGCCCCGTTTTGCCGTCACCATTGGAGTCACCCATCTCCCTGCTGTGCGTTCCCCCTGAAGCAACTGAACTGTGCCCCAGAGTCTCATTGCCATTAAAGCTCTCTGCCGCAGAATCATCTGTGGGAAAGAAAAATTCATATTTTGATTTTAATTAATGTGCAATTCAGTTTTTATTTCAACTAGCATTCATTGAGCTCCTATTATGTGCATTGTGCTAATTTTACATATAAAACAAAGATAATAAGATAACTATTATCTTGAGAACATTTTTTGTTTTTTCCACTGAGACTATCCAGATTGGGTGAAAATTCTCTAACAAAAACATCGTCTATCCTGTGAATGGGGTAGACAGTGGTTCAAGATTTGTGAGTATTTAGTTGCATCTAGAATATTACAAGTGCTCACCAACTTTGCTCCAGCCATACATATCTGGGGCTTTTAAGACTAAGAGTATAATCAGTGTGTGTATTTCTGTGCAGGTGATAAAATATTTATACCAGTGTTGTTCATAATAGCAAATATGTAGGAGTGATCTATAGTACAAAAAAAAAAAAAAGAAGAAATAGAGGAGTGGCTTAACACATGTTGAAATGACTAGAATACTATGGAGTCAGTCAACATTCCATTTTAAAGATATGGAAAATGTGAGTCATGAAGTATTAAATGGAAAAATCTAGCTACAAAAGAGTGTGGTCAATATGATCCCCATTGGTAAAAAGAAAACAAACACAGAGGGAAAGCCTGAAAAGATATAATCTAAAGTGTTAATATTGATTTCTTCTTAACTATATGGTGCCAGATTTTCTAGCATTCTCTATTATCTATAATACATATAATTTTCCAATAACAAAAATAAGATAACTATAGAAAAAAAGCAAAATGGAAGAAATGGAAGAAGCAGAGTTAATTAAAATTTTCTGGCTTTAAAATAAATAATAAATTTGTTTACAAAATAGTATACTAATGACACTTTAAGGAGAGCAAGTAACAAGTTTACATAAAACAATCAAATTCTATTTCTCTTAATTTCATCTTTACACACATAAGAATTTGCTATTAATTTTACACAATTATGAAGGACAAAAGTGTTAAATTGTTTCCTTTAGCTAAAAGCTATTGATTAGACCATATAAATCTGAGTAAGCAAGAGTAACAATATTCAATATCTGTGAATTTTTGTTTGATTTCTGAATATTTTCAAGTATGCTTTATTTTCGTAGGGTGCAATGGAATATTTAATGCCTTCTAATCAATTAAATTCATGAAAATAATATTTAAATACTTAAGGAGTAGTATAACTCACCTGTTCATTCATTTATTCAACATTTACTGAGTGTCTACACTTGGCCTAAAGGGGGTTAAATATTTTGCCTATAGAGAGACTGCCTTCAATAAGTTCACAGATAACTAAAAGAGACATAATTTAAAATGCAGAACAAAAAAAGGCTATGATCCAAAGCAAGGGATAAAGACATCACAAATGTTTTCCAATAGATGGTGTCATATGACTGAATTCCAAAAGATGAGTAGGCCTAACCAGGTGAAGAAATCGGAGGAGAGCATTTTCCCCTTAAAGGTCAACAGGTGCAAAGTCACAGAGGAAAGAGTATGCAGGCTGAGCACAAAAGAGAAAGTAAAGAAACAGAAACCTAGAAAGGGAGGAAGAAAATGCAATGGAAAGCGTTTTGTATATCAGAGAGCTTGGACTGTACCTTGAGAGCAAAAGGAGCAATTTCAAGTTATTGTGGAAAGTGATGTTAACAAAATTATGTTTTAAAGACATTACTGTATTTTGCCATGTATAATGTGCTCCCATGTATAATGCACACTCACAGTTTTAGCCCAAATTTTCAGGGTAAAAATCTTTCATTTTTTAATTCAAATTTTAATTTGTTTACATTTAGGTACTGGTTTTTTTAATTATAAAGGAATTTTAACATTTATGTTTTATCATATTATGGTACAAGATATTTTATGTACCAGTAACAAATTTAGGATATTTACACATCATAGAAGGCCAAGAACTCTTTTTTTTTTTATGGTATGCATATTTTATTGCAATTTATACAAAAAGAAAGATAAAAAGCCATAGGAAGGCCAAGAACTCTTTGTCGGTGCAAGTTTGTTGTAAGTTCAACAAAACTAATTATCGTATCCCAGGGCATTATTTTGCATAAAGATATAGTTATTGATTTCTAGAGTTACACTTTTAACTCATAAGCATAAATAAAAGAATTAAAAACATTTATACAGAATTAGTACTACCCGTGTATAATGGGCATCCTTATTTTTCCCTCACAAATTGGGGCAAAAAATTGCACATTATACACTACAAAATACAGTACTCAGACTCTGATAAGAAGAATGGTATGAAGGCAACCAAATGGAAGCGTGGAGATCAGTTAAGAGATCTAGAAGTCATCTAAGTCAGCACTGTTTAAAGCTCAAACTAAGGCAGCAGAAGTGCAGAAAAAGAGGGGACTAGAAAAATCATAAGGATGGAGCAGGTAAAGCTGAGAGTGGGATAATCAAGGGTCAAGGGTGAAGCAAGGTCTCTTGCTCCAGTAAAAAATGAAAACAAAGAGCATTAATATTTCATTTTAAATAAAATAATATTTTAAAACAATTTTTCTAAAATTATTTTGAAAAAAGTTAACATGTTCAAAGATTCTACTATTAAATTACGTTTTAAAAAGTAGCCATTCAAGAAAAGACTTTACATACATACATAAGAGAAATTAGGAAACTTGCCATGAATAATATGACATAACGCTTTCCACAGCTATTAGACTGAGAAATCAAAAAACCTCCTTTTAACAGTGAAATATTTAGTGTGTTTGAAATACAGAATTAGGGAATGATATGTATATAATGATGTGTGTATACATATATGTATGTAATTTGGAAAACTGTGAATGTTCTTTTATGCTAAGTCAAATCCTTATGCTAAAATATGAAAGGTCATTTCAGATTTTTTTAAGTTATTTTTTTCCAAGAAAGTTTAAAGAAAAGCATCATTGACACATTCATGCCCAATTATTTAATCCATGAATAATGTGATAACATTTTCTACTACAATTCTTTAAAACATACTAAACATTTCATGTAAGAAATTTTTATCAATATGGTAAAAGAATGAATAACCCTAAATAAATATTACATTTTAAAATCAAATCTACATTAACATAAAATATAATAAATCCAGTGCCTAGCATAGTTAAAATTTAAACATGCTATATTTGTTTCTTTAATCTGAAATCATCATACATATTTAGTAGTGTACCAGTTATTCATTTTTCAGGTAAGAAACATTTATCGGGAGAGTCTTTAATAAAAATCATGTATTTATAATTTTAGTACAAACAAACGAATAAAGGAGAAAATATTTTTAGACAGAGTAGTTCACTCCAGATGTTACCACGGTAACTAAATTCAACAGCTTTACATATTTCATTCCTGAGTAAAGCAGTATGCTTTCTGAAGAACAAATAAATGATTTACTCATTTGTATCAAATATATATTCACATTTTATAAGGTAAATAATAAAGAATTAATGTCACATGCCACTATTTATATAAATCAAAAGTTAAAAGAAAGTTTTTGATGTTTGTATTAGAAAAATTCAATATAAAGAAGTAAGCAGACATTAAACTGAGGATAAATTAACCATTTTTCATTGTCTAGTTTCGGGTAACCACATGAATGGTTTTTATTCTCTCTCTTACTTAAAAATACTTTTTCAGAATTAAAAATCACAGATCTCAGACTCCTGTTTATCATAACCGATTCACATCAGTTTACCGCTTTTAAGGGGAAATCTGCCTCCTTACCCAACATAGTTTGCTGCATCCTGAGTGGTTGCTGGTGTGTGGGTACCGGCTGCTACACAGAGGATGTACATCTGTGGGATGGCCTTTAGGTTTACAGGCCCAGGGCGATGGTGCTTCTCTCAAGTTTCAGTCTGGGTATCATAGCATTGGAACCAAAGACTCTGTATCTGAGTCCCAAAGAAAAACAGCACCTGGAGCTTTGGAAATTAAGAGTGCTCAGGGTACCTAGCAACAGAGGAGAATGTGGATTGTGATGACAGGGAAGTGTGGAATCTAGTGACATTAGGAGGGCAGTTGGATGTTTTAGGTTGCATTTGTGCTGAGGTTAGTTTTAATGGGATGGTAGTATTGTGGAGAGGGCTATCCAAATTAGCTCGGCTGTGGCTCTAGTCTGTAAGGTATAGTAACATGAACTATTGAGTGGCAGGCCATTCATTGTCTTCTTTCTCCTCCCCTATGTCCCATTCCCTCTACCAATTAGTACAGACCCTAGAGGTACTATTTGTTAAAATTATTTCTAACATCCCCACCAGCATTTTGTATGAGATAGTTTCATCAGTACCAGATTCAATGGTTAGCTCTCTCTATGTAAAGAGAATTAACCTATAATGGTATGTATGTGTGTGTATTTAAGTATACATCTATATCTATCTATCATTTATCTATCTATCATCTATCTATCTATCTATCTATCTATCTATCTATCTATCTATCTATCTAATAAAATGTGATAAATGTATTTGAAATCTCCCAAAGTATGTGACCTACTTTCTTACTCAGTCACTTTCAGTAGCTCATCATTATGGCCTTTAGGCCAAGTGCCTTGGGCAAAATGAATAGAAAAAGATATGTATTATCCTCATTTTAAGATTGGTGCTTCGAAATTTAGTCCTAAAATCCAGGTCAGATGCTTACCGAGTCCAAAAAGCTTTTTATTGTTTGCCCCCTGATGTACCAGAGTCCTCAAGCTCTAGTATTTTGATACCTACCTAGAAAACTTCCCTTTCATATTTTACCATAAAAATAACTTTTAAACCCAAAACATAGGTGTACATAACCTTGCTCCAGAAGATTACTACTGTAATATCCAAAAAAGGTGAAAAAGAAAATTTAAATTCTTCGAAATCTATTTGCAAAGTAGAATTTAGATGAAATTCTCTTTATCACTCCTGATCTCTGCTCTTAATCTTCTCCCAGCTTTACAGTCCCCAATTAAAAAATAATAATAATGTAAGCTTACCCATTACTAGACTATACCTTACGTCTTACACCACAGCGCCCTCTAT